GTGGAAAGAACAGAAATATGGTACATAATAAACTACCTGTAGTAGGGTTCTCCAGAGAAGCAGAACCTGTAGGAGAAAGGAATTAGCTCACACAATTATGGAGGCCTCTAATTTTCAAGATCTGTAGGATATCTGGAGACTCAGGACAGCCAATGGTGTCATTCTAGCCTAAGTTCAAAAAACATGAGATTCAGAAGATTTGATGGTGTAGTTCTAGCCTGAGGGCTGGCTGACTCAAGACCCAAGAGGAGCTAATGTTTCAATTTGAGTCTGAAGGCAGGGAAAAAAAAAAAACTAATGTCACAGGTGGAAGGCAGTCAGGCAGGAAGAAATACCCAGAATAATGTGTAACCAAATATCTGAACATCCAGTGACCCAGTCAAGTTGACACATAAAATTAATCGTTACATTATCATTTTCTTCATTAGCTTTGTAAATCATATTTGATGACTGAAACAAATTATAATCATCTGATGCTAAAAACTGTGATATTTGAAAGTAGGGATGTTAAATGCTGATACCAGTAAATTGTCTGCCATAAGTCACATACATATATCATTATAATATTAATGGCAACCACTATGAAAACTATACAAAGAGATACAACCAAAATATAAATAAATAAAAATGGAGTCCTAAAAAGTGTTCAAGTAAGCCACAGGACAGAAAGAAGAGAGAAACAGAGGACCAAGAGCCAAAGGAAAAAACAGAAAGCAAATAATAAAATGTCAGACTTAAAGGCTAACATCAATAATTACTTTAAATGTAAATAGCCTCAATAAACCAATCCAAAGAAAAAGTACATTAAAAAAAAATAACCCAACTATATGCTGCTTACAAGAAACTCACTTCAAAATCAATAAGAGGTACGCTGAAAGTAAAAGGATGGAAAATAATATATCATGCAAACAGTAATTTAAAAAATAAAGGCAGGGGTAGCTATATTAATGTCTGATGAAGTAGGGAGTAAAGAAATTTACTAGAGACAGAGCAAGACATTATGTACTGATAAAATGTTCAACTCACCAGGAAGACATAATGATCCTAAATGTTCATACACCAGACAGCAGAGCCTCAAAACACATGAAGCAATAACTGATAGAGCAGAAAAAAGAAATGAATAAATTTACAATTGCAGTTGAGGACCCACTCTCAGCAACTGATAGGGTTATTAAACAAAATAAGCAAGAATTTAGAAGGTCTGAACAATACAATCAGCTAACATGATCTAATTAATTTATATTGAACTCTACTTAATAACAGTAGAACACTATTTTCCCCAAGTGCCTATACAACTATTCACAAAGGTAGACCATATATTGAACCATAATACAAACCTTAATGCATCTGAAGGAACTGTAATCATATACAATATTTTCTCTGACCATAATGAAATCAAGTAGAAATTAGTAGTAGAAAAACAACAGGAAAATTAAACAACGTATCTCTTAGGTAATCTATGAATCAAAGAAGAAGTCTCAAAGCAAAAACTAGATGAAAATGAAAGCACAACATAGTAAAGTATGTGGGATGAAGCTAAAGCAGTGCAGAGCTGGAAATTTATGGCCTTAAATGCTTATATTTGAAATGAAAAGAAGTTCTCAAATAAGTTCCCAACCAAGAAGCCAGAAAAGAATAGAAAAACCAAACCACAAGCAAGTGGAAGGAAGTAATAAAGACCTACACCAACAATCTGTGAACTTGAAAACAGGAAAGCGACAGAGGAAAAGTCCATAAAACAAAAAGCGTGTTCTTTAATAAAAGCAGTGAAATTTGTAAGCTTTTAGCGAGACTGATGAGGACAAGAAAGGAGATACCGATGAGATACATGATATTATGACAGAACTTGCAGCAATTAAAAATATAATAAGCAAATATTAAAAACTTGTATTCATAAATGTGACAAGTGAGAAGGATGAACCAGTCCTTCAGAAACCATAAATAACTAAAATTCAACTAAAATAAACATACACTATCTGGGCTGGGTGTGGTCGCTCATGCCTGTAATCCCAGCACTTTAGAAGGCCAAGGTGGGCAGATCACTTGAGGTCAGGTGTTTAGACCAGCCTGGACAACATGGTGAAACCCTGTCTCTACTAAAAATACAAAAATTAACCTGTTGTGGTGACATGTGCCTGTAATCCCAGCTATTCTGGAGATTGAGACAGGAGAATCGCCTGAACCCCAGAGGCATAGGTTGTGGTGAGCTAAGATCATGCCATTGCATTCCAGTCTGGGAGACAGACCAAGACTCCATCTCAAAAATAAATAAACCTAAATATAAATTTAAAGGTAGAAAATCTGAGTAGACCTATAGCCATCAAATAAGCTGAATTTATCATTACAAAGCACTTGAAAAACAAATTTCTGGATTCATATGGTTTCAGTGGAGAATTCTACCAAAGATTTTTTAAATTGACACCAATTTTATACAGTTGCTTTCAGAAAATAGAAGAGGAAACACTTCCCAACGTAGTTTATGAGGCTAGTATTATCCTAATACCCGAATCAGACAACACATCATTTTTAAAAACTCTACAGAATAGTATATCATAAACTTAGAGTAAAAAATTCTCAACAGAATATAAGCAAATTGAATCCAGCAATGTATGAAAAGAATTGTATACCATAACTAAGTGGGATTTATTCCAGGTATGTAAAACTGGCTCACCATTTAAAAATTAATAATCTACCACCTGGGCACGGTGACTCACGCCTGCAATCCTAGCACTTTGGGAGGCCGAAGTGGGCAGATCATCTGAGGTCAGCAGTTCGAGACCAGCCTGGCCAACATGGCAAAACCCCATCTCTACTAAAAATATTAAAAAATTAGCTGGGCATAGTAGTGTGTGCCTGTAATCCCAGCTACTTAGGAGGCTGAGGCAGGAGAATCACTTGAACCTGGGAGGTAGAGGTTGCGGTGAACTGAGATCACGCCACTGCACTCCAGCCTGGGCAACAGAGCAGGACTCCATGTCTTAAAAAAAAAAAAAAAATTAATCTACTATATCAACAAGTTAAAGAAGAGAACTCACATGATCACATCCATTAATGCAGTAAAAGCATTCGAGAAAACCCAACGCACATTTTCAGGAAGCTAGGAATAAAGGGAAACTACCTTGATTTAATAGAAGTATCTAAACAAAGTCTACAGGTAACAGCATACTTAATGTGAAAGACTGAATGTTTTTCTTCTAAGACCAAGACCGGGGGAAGGATGTCCACTCTCAATTCTCTTATTCATCATGGTGCTGGAAGTTCTAGCCACTATATTAAGGCAAGAAAAACAAATAAAAATAAAAGCCTATAATCCCAGTACTTTGAGAGACTGAGGAAAGAAGATCACTTGAGCCTAGGAGTTCAAGACCAACCTGGGAAACACAACCTGTCTCTAAAAAAAAAAGAGAAAGCCAGGCATGGTGGTGCACACCTGTAGTCCCAGCTACTCGGGAGGCTGTGGTGGGAGGATTTCTTGGGCTCAAGAGGTCAAGGCTGCAGTGAGCTGCAATCACACCACTGTACTCCCAACTGGGTGATAGAGTGAGGCCCTGTCTCAAAAAAACAAAAAAAACCCACATATTATATTTATATACTAAAAATGAACATATGGAAATCAAAATTTTAAAATGCAATACCATTTATAATCACTTCCCAATACAATGAAATACTTAGATATACACTTTTTAAAACGTGCAGGATCTATATGCTGAAAATTACAAAATGCTGAGAAAAGAAATTGAAGACCTACATAAATGGAGAGACATACCATGTGTTTAGTAAATCAAGATTAGAAAACTCAAAAAGATTAAGATGCCAGTTCTCCTTAAACTGATCTATAATTTTCATGCAATTTCTATCAAAATCTCAGCAATTTCTTTTTGTAGACATAGACAAGATTATGCTAACATTTATATGAAAAAGCACAGACCTTTTAGCTAGTATAGCTGCTAGCTAAAACTTGACGAAGAAGAAAAAAGGAGGGATCTCTCTACCCAATATTGAGGCTTACTATCTATTAAAGTAATCAAGACAGTAGTTTTATTGGAGAGAGAGAGAGAGAGAAAGAGAGAGAGAGAGAGATGAAAAAGACTAGAGAACCCAGGCATAGATCCACACACACATACTCAACTGATTTTTTGATAAAGGTAGGAAAGCAAGTCAATGGAGGAAGAATACCTTTTCAAGTCCTGGAGTAATTGAACAGCTGTAGGCCACAAAACAAACAAACTTAGGCCTAAATCTGACATCATATAAAAAGATTAACTCAAAATGAATTATAGATTTAAATGTAAAAACGTACAAATTTAAAACTTCTGGTGGCTGCCCCAGAATTCCTGGACTTGTGGCTGCATCACTCTAGTCTCTGCTTCTGTTTTCAAGACATCTTCTGCTCTGTATGTCTATGTCTTTTCTTCAGATCTCCTTTCTCCTTATCTCATAACGATGCTTGCTATTGGGTTTAGAGCTCACCTGCATAATCCTGGATTGTTTCCTCATCTCAAGATTCCTAACAATCACATCTGCAATGAGACTTTTTGCAAAAAAAGATAGCACTCACGGGTTCTAAGGATTTGACACGGATATCTTTTGGGGGTGACTTGTTAAACTGTGGTACATCTGTGCTAAGGAATACTACTCAACAATATAAAGGAGTGAACCCTTGATACACGCAACAACTTGGATGGATCTTCAGGGAATTATACTGAGTGGAAAAAGCCAGTCCCCAAAGGTTACATACTGTATGGATTCCATTTATACAACATTTTTGAAATAGCAAAATTGTAGAAGTAGAGGACAAATTAGTGGTTGGTAAGGGACAGGGGTGTTTCAAGAAGGAAGTAGATATGGGTACAAAACTGCAACATGAGAGACCCCTGGTGGGGGATACATGAATCTACACAGGTTACACACACACACACACACACAGACACACACACACACACACACACACACACACAAATACAAGTAATACCGGGGAAATCTGAATAAGATTTGTACATCAGATCAATGTCAATATCCTGATTACACTATTATTCTATAACTTTAAAAATTTTTTACTGTGGGTAGAAGCTGGGCAAGGTGTTAAAGAAAACTCCATTATTTCTTACAATTGCATGTGGATCTCTGATTATCATGATAAAAATTTAAGTTAAAAATTTTAATAAAGATGACCACCTAAACCCCCCAGTTTTCTATTGGCATAATTAGAGATAATAGGAAACAGAACCTTGGGGATTTTTCTTATTTTAAATATTACGAAGTTCTTATTTTACAGAGATTAATAAAACAATATCTTAAGTATCAAGAGAAAATAAATATTTAAATAATTGAATTGCAATATGGTATGCTAAGAACAATGGCAGATCTACAAATAACGTAGATGTGGCACACAAAAAGGAATGATTAACTTTTTGGAGGTGAGGGAAGACTTCCCAGAGGAAGTGATCTTTGAGATGAGTATTCAAAGATGAGTTTCAAATTATTCAAGAAAAAACATTCCAGGTATAGGCAACGGCAACACAGATGCATGTAGGAACAAACTATAAATAGTTTCTTATTATTGGAGTGAAGTATGATTTGGGGGGAAAGAGGAAGATCCCTTTGCAAAGGTAGAAAGGAATCAGAACAGGAAAAACAGTCTTCCGGTCCTGTGGGAACAGAGGTACAGGGAAAACAGCTGCAAAGACATAGATAAGAAAGTCACAGGTAGTTGCTGGAATTCAGAGCTAAGTTGTCCTGAGTTCTCGCTGTCACTCTGGTTTATGTTAACTAGGAGCCTCCGCATCAGTTCCAGACATTTCACTTAGGTATTGCTTCCCCAGGATACCACACAATTGCAGAGCTTATTTTTTCCATGACCCATCCACAGCTTCCCAAGTCCAGATAAAACTGACCATATTAGTTCTCTATGAAGGGTGGCTAGTGACTGACATCCTGCCCTCTGCTATCCATTCCCATTTAAGATTAAAATTTTAAGACGTAAAAAAAAAAAGTTAGTCAAGCAAAGAGAATAGAGAAAAGTGATCCAAAGGGAATGAAGAGAATGCTCAAAATCTCAACCTGAGGAAAAACTTGGTGTGTCTAAAAACCTGAGATATGGCTGAAACTGAGTAAGGCAATTACTGATAGAAGAAAACACAAGAGAATTTTGGAAAGGTAGGCAGAAGCTTTCAGAAAAAATTTTAAAGCAGTGTGTTATTTTAATTGTGATTCTGTGGGTCAGAAATGTGGGCTGGGCTCAGCTAGGTGGTTCTTGTGCTGAACTCATGGGTGGACCCCTGTGGAGCTGCAGGCTGCTACAGAATAACTGGGTTAGATGGTTTTAGAGGGCTTTGTACATGTATCTAGCAGTTGCTGCTGGCTGTAGGCTGGATAATTCTCACCAGTAGACTCCTCCTCAAGGAGATTAGGCCAAGCTTTGTTACTCAGTAGTCACAGAGCAGTGTTGCAAGACAGCAAGAACAGCAGCTGCAACTTACTGCATTCTTTTGGTCAGAGCTAGTCACAAGGTGCTATGGTTTGAATGTTTGTGTTTCTCTAAAATTCATACATTAGAACTTAAACCCCAACGTGACAGTCTGAAGAGGTGGTGCCTTTGAGAGGTGATTAGGCCATGAGGGTGCCACCATTATGAATGGGACTAGTGCTCTTATGAAAGAGGCTTCAAGAGCTGCCTGCTCCTTCTGCTTTTCCACCAAGTGAGGACACAGCGTTGGTTTCCTCTGGAGGATGCAGCAACAAGGCGTCATCTTAGAAGGAGAGAGCAAGCACTTACCAGACACCAAATCTGCTGATACCTTGATCTTGGACTTCTCAGCCTTCAGAACTGTGATAAATAAATTTCTATTATTTAAAAAATCACGTCAGTCTGTGGTATTCTCTTACAGGAGCAGCAATGGCCTAAGACACAACGCCAGCTCAAATTCAAGGGGTGGAAAAATACGCTCTGCCTCTTGATTCAAGAAGTGGCATCTTTTATTTGGCCTTAGAAATTTTAAACTGAGCTTGAGTAGATTTTAAAGTCAGGATGCTTGGGATGGGGGAGAAGATAAGGGTGATAAAACCTGGGTATTTTGCAGCAGGAAGTGGAGTAGTAGTTTGGACGTGGGAATAGACAGTGGGATTGGAAAATGGGTTGTCAGTTGCAGTGTTATATATAATTTTATTTTATTTTTTTGGCTGCTATAGTCTGTGCTGTTCTTTGACACCCCCAGGATCCTCAGTTATTGTTTCTCCCCTCCCGCTTAAAGATTTGTTAATGTCATTCCTATTCTACATTCAAGAAACGGTTATTGGTATTAAATGGTTTCTGGGGTCAGGACACTAATGATAGATATTATAACTCTTAAAATATGTGTGTGGGGTTTTAAATATATAGGCCAGATTTATCACATTGTATCTCATACATATTTAAAATGTTAAATTTATCCTCAAATGTGTTTTCCCAGACATGTTTGAAGAACTTTAAAAATTAAACTTGAAAACATGATACCAAGAATTACCACAAGATGGTGCCATGAGTATATTGAAAGTATGATAGTTTCTTCATTCCTTTGCCCACATCAACATTCTGATGCAACTTATTAGTGAGTAAGGAAAGCAAAGAAATACCACACCAAGGAGTAAGGATGTGTGGACATGCATGTGGGGGCAAGAGCATGCTCATTTGATAGACTTTCTGAGCACCTTGTATGCGTTAGGCAGAATGTATAGGGGAGACATGGCAGAGGTTGGGGAGGTTGGGTGTTTGGAAGGGGGAAGAGCAAGAGAGATCTTTCTTTAGTTTTCAGGAATAAAAATTACTACTTAAATATATTAATATTGCTCTATGTCTGGAAAAGTCTCCATTTTAAGAGATATTAGGAATGAACATAAATGTTAAATGAAGCAACCTTAGGTTTGTATGACAGATTTAGAGATAAGGCTAGAATTCATCAGTACGATAATGATTTTACCTTTTCAATAGAAACACATAGTTTTAAACGCTTGCTTTTACTTAATTTTTGATGAATCAATTTGCCATTTATCATTCAACCAAGAAATCTGACTCTGCAAAATATAATTACCATGGTGAATGTAACAAATCATTGAGTTTCTGTCAGTAAGTGCACTAGATAAGTAAATCATTTCAGTGTGAGGTAGGTGGGTTAAATTATTTACAATATACTTATTTCTTTAAACCTCTTAATTAGTAAGTTCAGAAAATTCCTTTCATAGAATAATTATTATACAATCCATGTATCGGATAGAGCCCATATGACTTATGGTTTTTAATGAAGGGACAGACTTAGAGGGGGAAAAGGCCTTGGTCAAAATATGTCAAATTGCACCTTTGAAAACAGGGCATCTGCTTTTCTTTGTGTATGTCCCAGGTCCTTATAAGAATACTCAGGAATTGTCTCTTACTTGTAGTACTTCAGACCCAGTGATGATACATATAGTAGAAGGAATACTGATACACTTTTCTGATTCGTTGTCTTACTCAGAATTGATCACTGTTTAGTTTCCAAGTATTTTACAAATCCTGACTCTATTTTTCAAAGCAAGGATAAGGGTTGGTACCCTTTATCTGTTCTCCCCAGATAAATTTAATTGAGATTGATATTGTAGGGCTTATTGAGATTGAAGTTCCTTGGGAATGAGAATAGAGAAATTTGGAAATAGGATCAAGTCTCAAGTTACAATTCTAACCACTTCCTGACGCACAAATGCTTTGAATTTGAGACGGAGCTCTAGCCATCTTCAATGGTGTCAGAAATCTAAAACTACACCTGACGTAGACTTGAAAAAGTCATTATAGAACATCTCCATATTCTGTACTTGTGGTTAAAAACTGTCAGACAAGGGTGTGGATTATACAAGGGTGTGAATTAAGTACAGAACTCTAAGGGATTGACACATAAAAGAGTTTGAATGGAACTTTGATAAAATGGTTAAAAGGGGTGGTTGGCCCTTTTTTGGTGATGGACAGATTGTCTTTTTCTTAAAGAATGCTTTTGAATATAAACTTTTACATATTATATCTATTAAAAGATAAGAATTGCTTAACATCAAGTCTCGGTTTTTAGATTTTGAAAACCAAATACAGCTTTCAGTGTGGAAACTGAGTCTTAGACAATCACGGCAAGTGTTTACATGTTTGAGTGATTTAAATCATCAAAGGCGTATTTAAAACCTTGGTGTCTGCCTGGAATAGAAGTGTTACCCATTTTAAACTAATCTAGGGAGAAGGGTTTTCAGCAGTGAGCCAAGCCCAGTGGTAATTAGTGAGTTCAATTTCCACTGGGGGATGAATGTATTTTCACCTGGACTAACCAACTTTCTTCACACAGACATTTGACTTTCACATCTTAACAGTGTCACAGCCAAGGAGGCTGTTGGACAGTGTTCTGGGTTAGACATCCCTGTGGAATGTTACAGCTGACCGTGAGGTTGGTGTATGTCCTTGGCACTAAACAGTTTTTCTCGAGCTGTGAAACACATTTGCTCTTCTGATTACATGGAGTTTGGAGATGGTGGAAGGGCTGGATAATTGTACTTTTTAATGGGCCGAGTGTGCTGGCACTCACAAATAATGTTAACCCACTTCATTTAAAGAGCTTGTGCTCTGGTGAACCTGCAATCCAGAGACTCTTGTCCTGTAGACACTGGGTATTTATCTATTATTTTATGAACTTGACGTAAAATGTATAGGGAGCTTTTTTAAAAATCATAGCCCCGAAGTGTTACTCATCTTATAGGATAGTAAGTTACTTTTAGAAGCTGCTATAACTCCATCAAACCATCGGGGCACCATTTTGATTGCTAAAAAAGGGGAATTCACCGAATTATGTTGTATTGTCAAAAAAATAAATGCAGTTTCCTTCTTCACATAGAAAATGACTTTGTGATTGTATTCTAGATACTAAGAGCCACACATTACAGTTTAGTTTGTTCAGTGAGTAGAAAGACCACCCTTCACATAAATGCCTCCTGGACACTTCCCCAGTGCAGATCTAGGCCCAAAAGGCACCCAGGAAATGCTCTTTGAAGACTGAATGTTCTATAGACCCAAAGTCTTATCTTAAGTGTAGTGTCAATGCTCTGCTATATTAAAGTTCTTTAATGTGCTTAAAGAAAAGTGTTTATTTGGGAAATGTACTCATAAGAAAGACTCCAAGCAAATGCAATATATTGTTGTTTTTTGAGAACATTTGTTTTTAAAATGGATTTTAAAATTAAACAGTTGACTCTTGATGGCAGAAAATATTGCTACTTTTTTCTAAAACTGATTTTAAAGAACCTCTAATGCAAGTAGTTTATAGCATATACAAATAAAACAGAAATCTTTACTTCATAAGGCAAAGCTTATTTTTTTGTTTGTTTCTGACAGTGCCACATGCACTGTATAACATTATGGATATTTTGCTTTTGGGTACAATGAGAAGAGGGTGAGATAACCAAATGTTTTGCCTCACTCTGAAGATACATTCATCCTTTTAAAATTTCCTTTTGAAAATTGAGGTAGGTTGCTAAAAAATATTTATGTCAAGTGCCTTTCACACTAGTGAGTATAGAGTTTAGGTGATCAATGAGTACTATTATTACTATTTTTTTTTTTGATTCAGTAATTCTGAGTGGCTTCTTCTTGCCTTTGTTTTCCATGTCCTAGTTTTGTCATCATGCATTATTGCCACATTTGTGCTCTGCTTTGTGTCTCAGTCTTACCAGCACCTTCCCTCATATTTTTGCCCATCCGTTAAAGTAACACTACCCTCCAAATTTCTTGCCTAAGCAAGAGAACACCTGCTTAGGTACCATTTCCCAATCCATAACTTCCCAGCAGTTTAAGTAAACATTTATACGGTCCACAGTCTCTTACCTGCAATTCCTGAAATCCAAGAAGCAATGAAAACTGGAAGATTTTGTAATTCATGTTGATGGGAAAACGTGACATGAACTAATGTGGACTTAAATTATAGCATTTATTTATCCCAACGAGTATGAATATGCACACGTTTTGCTATAGAATGTTAATGTATCTGATTATAGAGTTGTTGCCCCGGACCTCAATGTGGCATTATATAACATCTGCCACTGGAGGCATTATATAATTCCTGGCATATGTAGAGTATTACCTTTCTAAAATCTGAAAACATTTGAATTCTGAAATGCATCAAGCACTAAGGGTTTTAGATAAAGGATTGGCCTATAATCAAATATCCCGGTTTAATTTTAAACTTTTATCTTATTACTAGGGAGCTTCATGTGTGGTAATAATAAAAAGATTTTTTAGGCATACAATCTCTCATAAACTATTCCTATGACTGTTTTCTAAGGAAAGTTTATGTGTGTGGTGGGTGAGCCAGAGAGGACAGAAGAGAAAGGACACTGAACAATTGCAAAGTCAGTGATGCCCAATGCTATTTCTCATAATACATTCAATTGTTGCCCTAGGGGCTTCAGGAGACACAAAACAAATGGAATTCAGGTGGCAAAAGTGACTGTGAGGGGCAAGTGTGTTCAATGGTGTACATATAGATATATGTACACACTTATGTGCACATCCACTCATGTGTCTAATCTGTCTCCAAGCAAGGGCATCTAACCAGCAGCCCGTAAGGAGTCAACTTTCCATATGGGGACATAGTGAGAATACCCGTGAGAGTGATGTGTTTAATGTTGCTCCAGAATGCTGTGTTACGTAAATGTGTGCTGCTTAGGTTTACACGAATGTTTCATATTGTAGACACTTCTAAATGTGTCATCTCAGAGCTGGTAGGATTACTAGAACTGAACCCAGTCATTTATAGGAGGTCCTCAAATCAGGAATTGCCTTTACTGAATTCTAATTTGTTTGGCCTTCAGAGTCTCAATGAGAACCTAAAACCCTTTTTAAAAAATTGAATAGAACCTTAAATGTGTTGTCAATGTTGCCTCCTAGGAATTTCTTCCAGTTTATTTTTGTGATTTCTAATAAACGTTTTATTTCTTTTTTGCTTTGCAGTTTGCATGCGCATGTCAAAGCTGTATATTTTGTAATCTCAAATCACTGCTACTGCTTTCTGGGGTATATGTATTTCTGGGGTATATCTAATACTGCTTTCTGACCTTGTGTCTTCTAAAGATGATGTCCAGTAGCTCTTGCATCTTATATTTTAGTAACAAAAGAGGAAGGATGATAAAAAGCGAAGGTATAAATTTGGGAGTAGTTGGGATAAAAATACATGGGTTTAATGAACTATAGATTTTTCAAAATAATGAGCAAAGATTATAGTGTTAAAAATATCTGTCTTGCATGTTTATTGTTACACAGAATAGATTTAAATCTTTATTGTTTATGAAATTGTCTTAGAGTAAAATTGATGGTATTTTGTCCTGGTGCTAGCATAGCATCGCACATTTTTAACTATCACCATTATTTTAATTTAGAGATGGGCACTTAGGAGTTAAAGGATGTTTGATTTGCCCTTTAATGGATATCTGTGTCAAATATATGGAATTATTTTTGTTATAATTGTAATAGTCTCCCGTGATTTCATTTGTCTAGAGCAAAGTCCCAGGAACCTACAGCTATTTTGATTTATGCAGCCTTTATAAGTCCTTATAATATAGACTACTGATTTCTTCCCTGTATCCTGTTCATTGTTGAAAAGCCAGAGCTATTTTTAACATTTACACAATTTCAATAGATGGTTCTTCATTCCATGAGGTTTGGTGCTAAATCTGTGGAGACTTTCATAATCATATCCTTTTTGTGGTTTGCTTGAATTTGATCACAGTGGCTGATTTCATGCATTGATAATGAAGGCTTAGGTTGCCTGTTTCTCAGCATAAATCCACCTCAGACTTGTACGTTGACAGTGCTTCTGGTTTCAGCATGCATGGAGATATAGAATTGAAATTGCTCTGCTTTCTTTACAAATGACTCAGAGTGTGCTTGTCCTTCCCTAAAATGTTGCTAGCGTGTAAAGGATTTTCAATGAGCAGTGCAATAAGCCAGCAACTGGGAAGGCTTGGAGCGGCACTGATATAACGTGGTGCTGTCACACAGATAATCAGGGCTGGAGCCAAGTCTCGGTAGCGCTGTGCATTACGCTGGTCACATACTGGAAGTTTTGTTTATCTAACTTGGTTGCTCTCGAAGCTGGTGAGAGCCCTGCCAGGATGTGGAGTGGACTTCCTAGCAGAGGTGAGCATTTTTATTCTAAAACTTGGATGCTGGGGTCTGGGATGTCAGTAACAGATTCTTTCGTACGTTGTGCTGAATCCTGTGGAGTCATCAATTGTGTTTACCACATCGTACTGATACACCTGAAGGAGGAAAACCGAAGAGCAAAATATATGATTCTTTAATTTTGTTGCGAAGTAACTCCTTGAATGGGTGTGATAAGCAGCCCTTTCTTTCTGTGCTAGCTGTTTGCCGAGGACATCTTACCAGTAGGTGACTTCCTTTGCATTTTAAACATTCTGAACAAGTCAGTGATATTATGCAATTGCTACCATTACTGAAAGAAGGTAATTAGAAGTGTTATTATGTGTTTCAGATGTATTTAAAAGGCTATAAACTAAGTGTACTTTGTAGAATCTTTGACATGAAAAACAGATAGGAGGAGACAAGTCATGCTTCGAGATAAGAAAGTAAGTGATGTGGATTACATACTGGAGTTGACACCTTGTTAAGCTAGACATTATTAATAATTAAAAGTTATGACCAGTCATGCACTGGAAAACCAACAGTAATTAATTTCTAGTGACGGTGTGCCGAATGAGAACGGGAGGAAATTAGCAGTATTTCTTCATGAAGTGTGTTTTTATTAGCTGAGATGTTTTAAAGGCAGCAGATTTTATCATTTAAATATACATAAAGTACCTGCACTGACCTGGAGAGGTTAAATTACTAGGTCATCATGCTTGGAAAGGTTTGATGTAGGCTTGTAAGTATATGGTATTTGAAAGCCAACTAGATAAGGGCAGGCACAAAGTTAGCCTCCAAGTAGATGGAGTGCTATTGCTTTGGCTTGGCTAAACTCTAATTCCTATGTTTCTAAGCATGAATGGAGTGTGAGGGTTATAATGTATTACATAGCGTTATGCTTATTAAGTGTCTGTTTAGTACATTAGGTTGGCAGGGGAATCTATTTTTCTTTGATTGGAAGCAGCTAGCATGGCACATGGGGTGTGTGTGTGTATATGTGTATGTGTTTTTCCTGCTATATTTATTTGAGGCAGCTGTTTCACAGCTTTCAGCTTTGAAGTTATAGCTAAGTGTGTATTTGTTTGATAGAAGACTCGAGAACCTCTTTTACTGCCAGTACACGTAAAGCTTGGCTAAGCAGACGCATCAGGAGCAAACCATTTGTGTTCGCCAATCTGTCTCGGCAAGTCCCAGGGCCACTATCTTGCTAGAAGCCACGGTGTGCTTTGGAAAGCATGAAATTAGTTTTATACTGAACACATGGTTTCTCATTTAGCAGCTCTTTTTATGGTAATGGTCAATTTATGGTTCACTGCCAGGATTTTGGTGTACTGTCAAAACTGATAGCTTCTGCTAAGGCGTCTCTATGAAGATTTAAAAAAAAAGAAAAGTGGAGAGATGGGAAGAACCTAATTAGACCCTCAAGAATAGACTTTTACCTTCAACCTCATCTATTCTCTAGATGCATTGTCATTTCTCTCAAGTTCCTTTATACTGTTTAATCCAGGACCTATTAAAGTTGCTAATATCTGCCACTTTGTCCTTTGCTAACATGTGACATTGAAATAGTTATGTTCTGAAATGCGAAGTATTTATTTTTTGCAATACATTTGTAGAAAACCACTCTATTAATGTTAGCCATATTGTGCAGTTCATCACTACACTTATCTGCTTGTCTGATAATGCATCCTAGAGCACTGTTGGAGAGAGGGAAAGGCTTTAATACATCTTATAATTGATATAAGCTATTCATACTTAGTTGTACATGTATATGCTCTGAGTAGGGTGAGTTAAATAATAAAATTAAAACAGCCTGTAGATACATTAGAAATTTGACCCAAAAAAGTGCCTTCTTTCATGCAGTGGTCTCATTTAGAAAAGCAAAAGCTGTCAAATGCTAAAATGATACTAATATTAAATACAGTTTTTGTGTGTTTCCACAGAATAAAAATGAAATGCATTTGTCAATGTGCTAAGAATGCTTTCCCTAGCCTTCTCTTTCTATCAGAAGATAACCCTGGTTGAAAGTTGTGCTGGTCATAATGCATTTTGAAATAGAGGTGATCAAAATTACCAGGACGTTTAGTGGAGTATTTATTTTTGTGCTGATTCTTTGCACTGTGGTAATGAATATGCAGGTGGAATAGAGTACATATTGGGATGGTGCTAATATACTTTTTCCCTCATGTGGTCTTGACAGTGGAACTGAAAACACTTCATGAATCTTGAATTTCATGATTTTTTTCTTGTTAATTATTAGATCTTTTCCTAGGTTAAGTGATTACACATGTGAAGAGTCAAGATAAAATATTATTGAAATACAGGGTGTAATATGTGCCATTGTAATTAGAAAACAATTTTGTGTTTTTAGATGAAGCAAAATGTGAAACTTTTTTTTCTTCTGTTCTTTTGGGACTGTTATGTCACAAATCATCATCGGATTGTCAGGGGGACTCAATTTTAGATTTTGACTTACAAATAAATATCTTGTATTTATTAGTTCCCCAAAGCCCATGAAACAAATTGGATTCGTGGGTTGAGAATTAGAAAGTTAGAGGGCATTGACGTTTTCTCTTTGAAATTCCTGATGATGTAACATGTTTAGTAAGTGAAAACCTTTTAAAAAAAGTTTTAGAATGTTAGAATTCTCTTAGAATGGTGACATTTGTCATATTACCTAGAGCATAGGACATTCACTCAGAGGAAATAAGGGATGAATTCGGCATATCTGCCTGAAGTCTTAGTAGCAATTTCTCCTTCAGAAGTAGTAGGATTTAGGAAATCGTGAGGATATAAATCTCAGTGATTTGCCTGCATCTTTTCACTTTTGTGTTAAGGTATAGCATCTTCAGTTGTTCTTCAGCAGATTTTAAAAATGATTAGTTACAAAAAATAGCAGATATAAACCTGTTTTAGCTGAGAAACATGATTGCAAAATGAAAGTACTATTCCAATTTGGCTTTCCTGATTGTATACATCCAACAATAATTTGGGCAATTTATAGAATTTGTAGTTTATTTTGAGGTATATTGCTAAGATGAGTATACTTTAGTTGAGAAAGTGGCTTCTTACCTTAAAGCTTTATTTACTTTCAGTCTTTTCACTTACTTTTTTTCCTACTTCCTATTAATAAATTAGGAACATCAAGTTTTAGGGTTTCCAGATTTAGCACATAAAAATATAGAACTCTGAGTTAAATTTGAATTTTAGCTAAAACAATAAATAATATTTTTAGTATATATCCAATGCAATATTTGAGACATACTTAATATTGAAAATTGTTAGTTGTTTAGCCGAAATTCAACTTGGACTAAGTGTCCTGTATTTCATCTGGAAACTCTACCTACTTTCTAAATAAAGTGAGTCTCCAGTAATGGCCTAGAAAATTGGTTTTACCAATGCCAAAATGGAGGCTCCACATGCCTGTAAAAGTGATCAGTTTTAACTGTTAGGGTGGATGTCTGAAAACTCCTAGGGAAAGAAAGTTGCTATCTGAGAAACTTAAAATGGTGTCAAGAAATAAAGGACTGATGGAATCTAAATGACAAATAATAAATGAACGCCTCCTACAATTACTAGTATAATAAAGGCAGCACATTAAATAAGTGTCAGTAACATTTTGAATAAATAATGAGTATTATACAATTAATTTCTAATTGTCATCCCTTGTCAACTAGAATATTTTTGGGATTTTCCTTCCCTAGCAGGTTTGAGATACTTATAAATTCATTTTGTTTTGTTGTAGTTAAGATGCGTAATGACAGGTGCCTCTCTCAATGCCTTCTCTCCTACCCATTCATCTGGCCTTTATTTAAATATTTGTTACCCTTTTGATTTTAGGACTTAACTCTGACTGCCACCTGCTAGATTTCTCAGAGAGGCAGAGTAACTTGCAAACTTGACCTAGAAGAAAATCTATGGGATCCTTTAATTATTCAATTTACCATAGCTGAATAAAATAGAATAGATACAATATTTATTATGTACCTACTGTGTGCCTCCTATGATGTCAAAATATTTATAGGTAGGTTTTTATTGAATTCTTGTAACAACTTTATAACATATTAATGTAATATTAATTGTACACATGCTGTTTACCAAAACTCCGTTCCCAGACCCAAGCTATCCCAATTTTAACCACACTGAAACAGAGCAGAATGTTCCATTCCTGGATCTGAATGTTACTCTTAGATATGGGACAACCTCCCTGTGGAATAAAGGGGTCCTTTTCTGAGAGTCTTCATGTCACTTCAGGCTATATTGCAAAATCCCCTTTGCCCACTCAGCTTCTGTATTACCTTTTTTCTCTTTTCTCACTTCCTAATATTCCCCTCCTCCTTTTTGTTAATATCCTTAACAGTCAAAAGTAGACATCAGTGTATAATTTGATTCTCAAAATGAGAAAAAAAATCATAGAAGTGAACCGCATGTACCATAATAGAATGTGCTATTAGGAGAACCTACAGTTGATTAATAAATAATGTAGACATGTTTGGAATAATTTCTTAAACCTAACCTTTTTGTTTCCAGTCTAAAATGCCACCTCAGTTCTCTGTCAGTTATGCAACATTCAGACCAGGAACCTGTTTTGAGCTTGAGTTGATCAATTGAATGTGAGTGTCATTAACCCAAGTTTTGGAAATGAATTAAGTCTACCATCCCAAGAAAGTACTTCTTACTAAACCATATCTTCTTTGAATTAAATGTTACTCCCACCAAATGATCTAGTTCGTTTTTCAGTGTCTATTGCCCTAGCAGACAAATTCCTATTTTCTTCCCTTTTTTTCCTGTCTGTTAACACTATACCCTTATTTCAATCTGATCATTTTAAATCTCCCAAGATATTTTTCACCTCCAGTCATCAATCTGTTTCCCACTTTTGCTAAGTCATAAACATTATTGTGTTATGCGTTACTTCTTCTACTAGTTTAAACTGATATTGGTTGCCTTTTCTTGTATTTAAACTGTGCTCTTTAGGAAAAGATTCTGATTCG